CTCCGACTCAGCTCCCTCTCTTTCTCCCTCTCCCTCCCTTTCCTCTCTCTTTCCTCTCTCCCTCACCACATCACCGACACCAACCTTCAACACTCCCGTGCTGACTGGTGCTGCCATCTATTGCCCTGCAGACGAAACCCGGCAAGCCGGAGCGCGACGCCGCTGACTTCCTCGAGTGGATGAAGAGGGAGCCACAGTCGATGGTGTGGATGCCCGTGTTGCACCGGTTGGCCGCCGCGGAGACGGCCAAGCACCAGGCGAAGTGCAACATCTGCAAGGCGTTCCCGATCGTAGGATTCCGGTAGGTGGCGCCACCGATCGCTCGCCGTCGTTCGTAGAACGGGAAGGATACGTGTGGATCGTATATATGTGTGTGTATATTTATACATATACATATACATATACTTATAGAGATAAAATATTTATAGGTGAATGTTTTATCATAAGATCCTCATCTTCTCTATTCGGAGGCACCAGCAACTCAGAGCCTCTGTAGGTTCCATTTAGCACCACAGAGAAGCACGTTATGGATATATTTACATGTACATGTACATGTATACACGTGTATGGATATATTTACATGTACATGTACATGTATACACGTGTATGGATATATTTACATGTAGATGTACATGTACATGTATACACGTATATGGATTTATTCACATGTACATGTACATGTATACACGTGTGTGGATATATTTACATGTACATGTACATGTATACACGTGTATGGATATATTTACATGTACATGTACATGTATACACGTGTATGGATATATATTTACATGTACATGTACATGTATGCACGTGTATGGATATATTTACATGTATATGTACATGTACACGTGTATCGATAAATGTACAAGTACGGATATATATGTGCATCTGTGTGTGTATTAGTATTATTTATGTAACGATATTCACATGTACATGTACATGTATACACGTGTTGTGTATGTGTCTGTGTATGGATATATTCACATGTAGGCCTACATTTATACATACTACTTATGTATGGGTATATTTAAATGTACATCTGCACATGTATGGATATATTCACATGTACATGTACATGTATACACGTGTATGGATATATTTACATGTACATGTACATGTATACACGTGTATGGATAAATGTACATTATCTATACATGTAATATATATATATCCATACACGTGTAGATGGATACAATGTACATATAAACATAACACACAGCGCCCCCTAGCGACAATCTACGCCCCGGGCGACTCACCTGGCGTTCAGGTGGCTCCACCTGGTGTTGATGTCGTCGAGAGTGGCGCGAATCTTCGTCGTGTCGTGCTGACTGTACGAGGTGGCGAGCGTGGACGTCATGTGACCGAGCGTTTCCTTCGTCGACTGCCAGTTCTCGATCTCTTCTATAAGCACCTGTGAAGAAAGAGATGAGAGAGGGTGATGAGAGCTGTGTGTGTGTGTGTGTGTGTGTGCGTGTGTGTGTGCGTGTGTGTGCGTGCGTGTGCGTGTGTGTGTGCGTGTGCGTGTGTGTATGTGTGCGTGCGTGCGT